TCAAAGGGTTGTGATTTTTCGATGAGTTGTGACTTTTTCAAAGGGTTGTGATTTTTCGATGAGTTGTGACTTTTTCAAAGGGTTGTGATTTTTCGATGAGTTGTGACTTTTTAGATAAGTTATGACTTTTCCAAAGAGTTGTAACTTTTCCAAGGGTTGTGACTTTTCAGATAAGACACAAAAAATATTTGTTCATACTACCCTTTGTTGACTATAAATAGAGAGACTTCCTATCAATTTTCCACCACAATTTTTTTAATCTTCTACTCTTCTTCTTGCATTTTAAAACTTTTTGTGTGATTTATTGTCGTTGAGTGAGTTCAAAGTTTAGCGGAATATGAGGTACCACTATTCTGATGAAGTAAGTCATTCTATCCTAAGAGGGTATATTCCATAACTTCGAGTACTTGAGGAAAATAATTTTGATGATATAATAATTATTTTTCGCTTAATATATACATTAGTATGTAATGTTCCAATATACAAAGTTAACATGATGTAGTCTAAATTTATTTGTTTAAGTTAACAATTTCTCCTGTGATGTATATATATGCCTCTGAATATCTTTTTCCAAAATTTAAAGAATTGTCACGATTTGTTTTTGATGCTCAAGACAAAAGAATGACTTTATTTATCAATGTTGCTTATGTTATTTAGACTCTCAAGAAGTTTGCTTCAAAATAGTTATTACTATATAAACACTGCCCTTTTGTTTTACTTATTTACTATTTCTTAATATTTCAGTATTTTGGATGAAGAAAAGTTCAATAACGCCAATTGAAGTTTGTATTAGTTTAATTTTTATTATTTATTTAATAGATAATTTTATGAGATACATGTTTTCATTAATGCAGATATATATTTATATTTGGGTATGTATTATCAAGTTAACAAGATCTTCTAACTTCAAAATATATTATTTTAAAATGTTCCGACTTCTTTTTTTTTAAATATCTCACAACAAATGTGAAAATATATGAATATATAAAATGTAGATGTTCTCTTCAGATGTTCATATTACATCTAAATAATTTAACGTGGAATACACATACAAAACATATCTGGTTAGATGACAAGAAATACAAAACAAATAATGTCTATAACGTAATATTAGTGAGATAAGACTAACTACATGATTGAACCTCATCAAATTGAAATAAATATATACATTATTACATTTAACTAATAAATTTTTTCATTCACCATCTTCATAAGTTTGCGTGAATAAGAGATATATATGACGATCCACATTGAACATTCGCAAAAGAATCTGCAATATTATTTTTTGCTAAGCTTATTATTCAAACCTTCGCTTAAATAAGCAATACTATTTACCATTACATATATTTTTGGATTTGGTAATCACGTGCAACGCACGTGTCAAAAAACTAGTTTTATGTAAATTTATGATTGTAGTAAGTTTTTTATTTGGGCTCAACTTAGTCATTTGTGATTTCATTAGAAGTATGTTAACTACTCACCAAAGTTCAAACCATACAATTTTCATAGAAAATTAATCATTCTAATATCTACAAAAATTTACATAGGGGCAGACGTTTCTAGAAACTAGTCTTGTAAATAAAAAGGAGTAGATTCATATTTTGTAATTTAAAGTCTTAAACACAATAGTCTAGTAATTTTTCCTATTTATAATGATTTGCACCCTAATCTTCTTAGTTCTTTGTAAAATCATTAAAAAAAATCCTTTTACAGTTTTTTACAAAGATAATAGAGAAATTAACATTATATTTGTTAGGATTTAAAAATATAATTAAAATATAATTAAATTACTTTCTACCAATAATATAATTGATTGTTCTGGACTTTCTTTCTTAATACACGTACAAAGTCAGAAAAATAAAGACAGAAACAAACATTCTCATTGACTTACAAACAAAAAATTCCACTTAAAGAAGAAAGAAAAAAAGAAGATGAACCACAAAATTTTGAACTTGCTTGTCACAACTTATAAAAATCAGAAGAAGAAAAGATGTAATAAATTGATGGAGTAGCAGCTGGCCCAGCACCACTAGTTAAACACCACAAATACCAACTGCTTGGAAGCAACAATGTTTGGCCAAAATGAAAGAGACTTATCTTAAAATTTAATAGTGTCCCCTCCGAGGAATAATAATGTTAGAGACCAAAAAAAAAAAGTAGTAGCAATAAATAATTATTCTTTATTTTCATGGAAATAAAAAAGCGGTAAATAACTTGTACTTAATATTGCTTTTATTTTAAATTTAAATCAATTTATGTTTTGTTTATATGTAATTTCCTATTTTATCCTGTTATAATTGAAAAATGAGATGTTTTATAACTTTGCAAAAATCTAAGAAGATAGGGTGCAAACCATTAAAAATGATAGGTTGATGTGTAAATCACAAAAGGGCGTTTATATTAGGGTACAAATAGCAAATTACTCTAAAAAGTCGTATACATTTAATTCCTTGCAATATTCTACGGTCTAATTCACTAATTTCCATTGCAGTAGAGTTTCGAGGAAACTACAAACTCACTATAATACAAAATGTTAGTGCTCACTTTTCAAATCTTCTGCTCTGAGTGCTGCATAGTTGTATGATTTAACATAAGTTTACAAACCAGTGTCATTTTCACTCTGTAGAAATTGGTTACACGTAGTCAAAAGTTTCAATTTCAGTGTAACTCCAAATCCCACCTACTTCTTCTATAAATATATTTGCCATACTAAATAAACTTGTCATCATTCATCACAAAATGAAATATGGAGGCTTTTCTAGCCTTGGCAGGACTAGTTGTATTAGCTTTTCTCTATAAAATTACCACTTCTCGACGCCCAGTTAACCGGAAGCTACCACCGGGTCCAAAACCATGGCCCATCATTGGTAATTTGAACCTACTTGGTCCTATCCCACATCAATCTTTTGACTTGCTTTCCAAAAAATATGGAGAGCTGATGCTGCTGAAATTTGGCTCCAGGCCAGTTCTTGTGGCATCATCTGCTGAAATGGCAAAACAGTTTCTAAAAATACATGATGCAAATTTCGCCTCCCGTCCTCTGTTAGCTGGTGGAAAGTATACAAGCTATAACTATTGTGACATGACATGGGGACCGTATGGTCCCTATTGACGCCAAGCACAACGAATTTACCTGAATGAGATATTTACGCCAAAAAGGCTAGACTCGTTCGAGTACATTCGTGTTGAAGAAAGGCATACCTTTATTTCCCAGTTAAATTCTCTTGCTGGGAAGCCATTTTTTCTGAAAGACCATTTGTCACGATTTACCCTCTGTAGCATGACAAGGATGGTTTTGAGCAACAAGTACTTTTGTGAGTCAACAGTTAAGGCGGAAGATTTGCAGCACCTAGTAGAGCAATGGTTTTTACTTAATGGTGCTTTTAACATTGGAGACTGGATTCCATGACTCAGTTTGTTGGACCTGCAGGGGTATGTGAAACAAATGAAGGCTTTGAAAAGAAGTTTTGATAAGTTCCACAACATTGTGCTAGATGACCACAGGGCTAAGAAGAATGCAGAGAAGGACATGGTGGATGTCTTGTTGCAGATGGCTCAAGACCCTACTTTGGAATTCAAACTCACAGATGATTGTGTCAAAGGATTAATGCAGGTTAATTTCTTTCAATTCTAGATTTTCTCTTGTTTTAGACAACTTCTAACCTTACTAAACTATGGCACGATCTACTAACTGGAGGAACAGATAGCTTGACAGCAGTAGTGCAATGGGCTTTTCAAGAACTTCTTAGACAGCCAAGGATTATTGACAAGGCAATCCAAGAGCTTGACTAGGTTGTCGGAAAGGAGATATGGGTAGAAGAGAGAGATTGTTCATAGCTATTGTACATTGAAGCAATTCTCAAGGAAACACTAAGGTTACATCCTCTTGGAACTATGCTAGCACCACATTGTGCTATTGAAGATTGTAATGTGGCTGGTTATGACATAGAGAAAGGAACGACCGTTCTGGTGACTGTTTGGACCATTGGAAGGTACCCCAAGTACTGGGATAGAGCAGAAGAGTTTCTCCCAGAGAGGTTCCTAGAAAAGGACATTGACATGGATGGACATAACTTTTCCTTCTTGCCATTTGGCTCGGGGAGAAGGAGATGCCCTGGCTATAGTTTGGGACTTAAGGTTATCCGAGCAACTTTAGCCAACATGTTGCATGGATTCATCTGGAAATTACCTCAAGGTATGAATACAGAAAGCATAAGTGTGGAAGAACATTATGGGCTCACAACACATCCAAAGTTTCCTGTTCCTGTGATCTTGGAACCTAGACTCTCTTCACATCTCTATTCCCCTAAGTGAAGGAACTTTTGGATTACTATTAAACATGAACAACTTTTAGGTTTTTGTCTATTCTGTTTTTGGATAAGTTTATACAAGAACAAAATAAGACATATGAATAAAAATAGTTGTTATATCGATTATGCTTTAATATTTCTATTGGACGAGCACTTCCAATAATCCACAGCCACCACTGCACTTTCTCACCATAAAGACAGAAACAAAAATATACTACTACTTTTCAACAAAGGTGGACTGTCAATTGTGTAAATACAACTGGAGGAATACTCTTATATTAGAGAAGTCATTTCAGTTTCAAAGTGGTCACTTTAACCTTCAGACTCCAAGCTGAGTTATCTACTATTTTACAAGCATACAACATACAATTTTAGACCAAGACTGTCTACTGGACTAAAAGGCTTTGTGTCATATGATCTTTCAATCAATTATTACATGGGAGACAAACCTAAATCCCAGTCAATCTTAGCCTTTAAGCACTTATTTTCATAGTTACTTTTGTGCTTCTAAAATACACACTACTGTCTATTTTGAAACTCTGCAACGTTTTCACCACAAAAATAAATAATATAACAGTTTACTCAAAAGGAGGACTAAATCAACATCCTCAGCTTATTGCTTTGAAACACAGTATTTTTTTGTTTTCACCCAAATTCTTCAAGTTCTCAGTCAGTTGAAACTTGAATAATCTATTTTCCAACATTTCGCCCATGATAAATACCAACAAAAGCTGATGTAGCATTTTCTAAACCCTCAGCAATGTCTTCTACAAAAAGTAGTTTTTTCTCTCTTATTAGCTGAATAGCAAACTCGAGGTACTCTGGAACCTTGTACCGGAAGTCAAACTCAGAGAAACCTTCCATTCGTAATCTCTTTGAGATAAGACAAAACAAATTGTGGATACCATCTGGTTTCTTTAAATTGTACTGAGAGATCATCCCAGAAACTGCAATCCTACCATAGAGGTTCATGTGCAAAAGCACCTCATCCAGCATATTTCCTCCAACGTTCTCAAAGTAAACATCAATACCCTTGGGGAAATGCCTTCACTTTGCAAACACACAATTAGAGAAGCACATCATTACAGAGTACTAAATTACATATTTCAAACTCATAAAATTTGATAATAAATTTAAACATTTATCAATGCGCTCTGAAGTCTGGAAAGTCCTTCATTTTGCAGTGAGACAGATGAAGAAACATGTCACTCCACAGAAAAATAACTTTTTTCTCAACCTAACCAAATTTAACATAGAAAAGTACTTGCTTCTGACTCACAAAATTCAATAATTAATTTCAGCATTTGTCAATACCCTTTAGTAAATGCCTTTTTGCAGACCGAAAAAATAAATCATTCCACAGAAAAGTAATGTTGTGAAGAGTTTCTGTTACAGAAATATCGTAGCTTAACTAACACAATCACACACAAGGCAAATAAAGAAGAAAATAACATAAGAATTTAACAAGGTTAGGCTAAGCCTAATCCACGAGACAGAAGTAGAACGTTTCCACTATGAAAGAAAAAAGATGTATAGTCATATGAATCCCCCAAACTACAACCCTTATATATGCATCCCAAATCTACAAGAGAAAGGTTTACTCAACCTACAAGAGCAATATGTTTTTCTTTTCCAAATCTATTAGGACAATGTATTTCCTGAACCAATAGAAATTATGAATTTTCTAAATATACGACGGAAAAATTCAATACACCATTAACAAATCTTTCCCGTGACTTGAATTCTCTTTATCAACAGGAACACCATCTCTCTATCTTGCCCTTATCCCTCGAAAGGGCTCTACTAAGTACTGCACACACCAATCAAGTTTGCAATGCCTAAACTTGTTAATAGTGACTACCTTGGTCATCATATCAATCGGATTATCATGTGTACACACTTTCTTCGCATCACAAACCCCTTTGCGATCTACTACCTTTTTTCCCTTTGGCAATGAATCAAACTTCCATGTTTGATTCTTGTGAAGAGACTCAATCTCTTCGCCCATAGCACCAACCCACTACCCACTTATCTTCTTATGAATTAGAAATAGGCAAATAGCCTATTTATAGCTAGTAGACTCAAGCATGTCAATGGTCTATGCAACTGACAAAGCAAATTCCACAAAATTTGCATATCCAAAAAGATTTTCATCAACTACATTTGCAAACCTTTTCAGTCCGTTGATCACTCTCTTCTCGCTGCATGTTGCAATGTTATTCGGTTGTTGTTGTATAGGTGCATCAACATTATCATCTTGATTAAGGTTTTGCACCTCCTCCATTTCCTCCGCTCCTGAACTTCTGAGTTGAGCTAGTGGAAATTCAACTTTTAGCTTTACACGATCATAGACACCACAACTTGTTTCTGCTATTGCCTTTTTTCTCTAACTGTTCAGTGAGATAGATTCATTACATGTCACATACCTACTGACCATTAACCTTGGAGTCTTCCGATCTATGCAGCACAATCTATAACCTTTCACTCCAGTTGCATACCTTAGAAATATACACTTATTTGCTCGCGGCTCAAGTTTAGTCATCCATCATATGAAGATAAACAGGACAACCAAATATTCTCAAATTTGAATAATGCAAATCGGGCCATACCTTAGAAGGAGTTTTGAACTCAATTGTTGTGGATGGAGATTTGTTGACCAAATAACAAGCTGTATTGATTGTTTCATCCCAAAAGTACTTGCTAACACAAGTGTGAAAGCACGCTTCATGCCCTATTATGAGGTAATTTGTTCATATATTCTTCAACACCATTTTGTTGTGTTGTTCTAACACAAGTATGGTATCACATTATGCCTCTCTACTACAGAAATCATTGAGCTCTGAGTTGTAAAATTCCAACCCATTGTTGGTCCGAAGATGCTTAACTTTCCTTTGTCTGTCTCTCAACCATCGTCTTCCATTTAACAAATGTTCGCAATGCCTCATTTTTTTCTTTCAGAAAATACATTCATACTATTCTTGAGTAACCGTCAATCAAAAACATAAAATGCGTGGCACCACTCTTTGAAGGAACTTTGTTTGGACCCCATAAGTCTGAATGTATATGGTCTAACTTGTCTTTGGTCTTGTTTTTTGCCTCCTTGTTGAACTTCACCCTTGTTTGCTTACAAAGATACAATGCTCAGAAAAATTCAAAGCTTGATTTTTGTGGCCACCCAACAAATTTCGCTTGCTCAACAAAGAAAATTTTTTGTCACTCGTACGACCATGTGACAAAATAGACACACGAAGTAGCCGAAGGGGATTCGACATCTACTATATATACCTAAAAAATTCTTTTAACCATGTATAAATACTATAATTTTTCGCCGAACCCCCTACTTGTAAGGTGGCTCCGCCACTGAATGAGGGAGTACTTCACTTCAAAATCTATTGTTTATTAGCCCAATTGAAAATTTCAGATTGGGTTTTGCAAAAATAGAATGGACAAATTGCTGATTGTTCTTCCTGAAAAATACACGTGAAACAATGAACTTACAGGTATGCCAGGACTTGCAGCCTATATTGGTTTTAATAATCTATGCTCTGCTAAGGAAGGGGATGTAGTTTATGTCTCATCTGCAGCAGGAGGAGTTGGTCAGCTTGTTGGACAATTTGCGAAAATGAAAGGTTGCTATGTCGTTGGCAGTGCTAGTACTGATGAAAAGGTAATATTTCACTTTTGCTTTTCTATGCAACTGCCCATTATTGATGATGTGTTTTGCAGGTACATCTTTTAAAATCACAACTTGGCTTCGATGATGCTTTTAACTACAAACAAGGAAATGATCTTGCCGGAGCCTTGAAAAGGTGATATCTTTTATGGCCCAAGAATATCTACATTATTTGTTTGTTCTTTTGACACAGAGACACATACAATAAGCTTAGATTAGATCTCATTTATAGACAAATGTTGAATTTAATTATCAAATATTATGAGTCTGAAAGTAGTAGGTTTTCATGTCAAGTTTGCTTTAATGGAAGAAATACTGTTAATTATGTCTTGAGTTTTCCATTGTATATTTAGGAAACCCATTATCCCTTTTGGTTTAGGAAACCCATTGTCCTAATAGATTTGGGAAAGAAATATATATTGTCTTTGTAGGATTGAGAAAATCTTTCTCTTATCGGTTTGAGACTACTTGAAATTATGAATAAGGCAAAATAGATCGTGGCCCCCCCAAACTTGTCAAATTTTATCCAGTGTACACCCAAACTTTGCGTTAGCTTAATTATCCCCCTCAACTTGGTAATTTGATAGCCACAACCCCCTAAAGGCTGACAACCCATGGATGTGTGATATACGCGTTGCCATATGGATTTTTTTGTCCATGTGCCTTTTGCTTTTAGAATAATTTCATTTTTACCCTTTTAAGTTCACTAATTATTTAAATCATCTTTTAGGGTCAATTCTGTAGAAAAAAGTAGAACAACAATATTTTGACTATGATTTTTTTGTTTGGCTAAAGATAATGATATTCTAATCAAGGCCAGGGAAAGAAGAAATATTCAGTTAGAAAGAATAATCATCGCAACCAAACAAAAAATAAATAAAATTTCAACCAAAAATACCTGTTTCAATTAATAGAGCTAAAATAAAGAAAGTTCCAACTAAGTTTTGTGAATTTGGGTCCAGAAAAAGAAAAGAAATATGTAGTTGAAACAATTAATGATTGCAACAGAAAAAGAATAAAAGACACATTTAGAATAAAATATGCATTGTATATTAAGAATAATATATAGAGAAAATACAATTGAAAAAAACAAATCATTATATTGACTATGTGTCAATTAAATAGTTGAAAATACCCACTTGGAAGCTTATTTTTTTCAAATATTCTCCCCTTTTCATGCGCCTTAAAGAGAGTGGATACACACTCTTCGCCACATCAATGTCTAGGAAGGTCGTGACTATAAAATTATCAAGTTCAAGGGGGTAGCTAGGCCAACGTAAAGTTTAGGTGTGCACCAAATAAAACTAAATCTATTCTGCCTATATAAAAAGGGTTGTAGTTGCGGATTCATATGATTCGTTACCCTTCTTATTTTTCATAATAGAAAACTCTCTACTTCTTCCGTCGGGGATTAGGCTTAGCGAAACCTCATTAAATTTTTGTGTTATTTTTCTTTTTTATTTGTTGTGTGTGTGTATTTGTGCGCTAGTTAACCCATGATATTTCTTGAACAATAGCAAGGCTTAAGATGACTTCATCATCTTTAACAAAGTATGAAGTAGAGAAATTCAATGGTGGATCTAGTTTCAATCTATGGAAATTAGAATGACACTGTCTTTAGTGTTACAAGGGTTATGAAAGACAATTAAAGAGGTTTTCCTAAAGAGATGAAAGAGCTAGAGAAGACAGAAACTTTAAAAGGGGGACTTTGAGTGCGATCTTCTTGAGCATTATATATAGCCTTCTTTGGAGTAGGAAGATATATATTCTAAGAAATTGCTGATAAAGCGTCTCTACCTAACAAGGAGGTTGTACAATCTCCATATGAACAAATGTAGATTGGTTAAAACTCTCCTTGATGAGTTTAATTTAATCATAGTGGACCTGAAGAACATAGATATCAAAATAGAGAGTGACGATCAGGCCTCTATTCGACACATATTTCACATTCAATTACTCAATTTTTCACCTATCACTATAATATTTTTTTTAATCCAAAGGATTGGGTCGAGCCCATTTATTGAGAAATTTAGCCAAAAATTACGTGACTTGAGTCCAAAAGTGACCCCAAGCCCAAATTTTAAAAAAGCAATTACTAAAACCTAAACAAAGACAATCAACAAAACAAAAATAGAAAGTGTAGTCATTGTAGCAGCTCTTGCGACTTTGGGAAATCGCCATGGGAGAGATCTGCAAGCTGAGTCGATGTTAGTAACATAATCACGCGGTCGAGTAGAGATCCACCTTGGGCGTTCACAAGTCCCACGAACACCATGAATTCATACTCAATGAAGACTTCTTCAACCACTAGATCGGGGATTCCAAGTCACACCGATGGCCAACATCAATCTCTCACAAATACTTATCGATCTTCTTAATTATAGAAACGACCATAGAAATGACCACAAGTAGTATCCATTTCTTCATCCCTAACAAGTTGAGCTCCATAGAAGCTAATACCACTGTTTAAAGACTTCGTTTGGAACCTATCCATTGCCAAAATTGATTCTCAAATTAAGGTATAAATACCTTCAACTGGTTGTCATTGTATATCTAATTTGTTGTTTTGTTGTGTTGATCCCTCCTGCGATTTACTCATCGGTAGGTATCCATTTCTTCGTCCCTAATAGGTTGAGCTTCAGCGGAGCTAATACCACTATTTAAAGACTCCAGTTTGGTACCTTACGATTGTCCGCCATGATTAACAAACTGAGGTAACATTTCATTAGTTGATTGTATCTGCATAAATGAGTTGTTGTTCTATTGATTCCCTCTGCTATTTTAACATTTCTTTGCTATTATATTTGGTACCCCTAATTTTTCAAGTTGTTGTCACGCCCCAAACTCAAGGGGAGCAACTGGCTCCTAATGCCAGAACTCAGGCCCAAGCCGACCCTGCTGAACCGTTTGCTACTAGTGCATGGCAGCCACATGCAATCAAGAAAACAAACAAGTATATCCTGGCTTAAAATTAAGCCCTCGACCGGCAAGGCCCCTGTCAACAGATCTATAAAAGAAACAGCTACTCCCAAGAGTTCATATACAGAAATAGGGAACTAGCACAGAAGTCCTGATTGGCCCATCGAGGCCACCATGATCTCTATAGCGAAACTGAAAGCATGTATATATCAATACAATACATCAAACAGCTAACAAGCATCAGCAAACCAACAAACTAGGCCAGCATAGCCATAACGTAGCTGTACACCCCACACTCCAAGCCTCTAAGAGTGGTAAAGATTGGCGGGACAGGGCCCCAGCCTACCCATAAAAATATATACAACAAAAGCTAACAAACCTCCCAACTCTGGCAGCTACGGAGGAAAGGGGCTAGCCAACCAAATAGAAGTCAATCATACTGCTGATGAGGTCTACTAGGTCGTCTGTCGGGTCCTGCATACATGAATACAGCGCCCCCAGGCAATGGGGTGTCAGTATAAAATAATGTACAGAGTATGAAAGGCTATAGACTAAATGAGCAAGCATCATAATATACAAAAAGCAATCAGGTAAGGAAATCAAATTTAGATAAGCATGCTAACCCACTACTGAGTACTAAAAAAATACAATAATGATCAAACAACAACCTAACCAAACCCCCATAAACTCGGTAGGTACAAACAATGTAACTAGTGCCCTTACTTCAAACGAATCCCTTTTCACACAAGAATTTGATTTTGAGTACAAGGATTCATTCAACACTCACACTCAGAAGTAACTTCAAGTACAGTTAGTGCTCAATACCATAGGTTTGGCCTTATTTTCACTGCTTAGACTCTCCAAAGTAGGTTCCAAGATCACTATAGAACTTTCTAGGCTTGTAACGTAGGCTCAGGGTCAGGTGTGGTACATTTGGGTACTTCTTAGTGACTTTCTGCCCTCCTTGACATTACATTAGGCTGTCTACCTCTTTTTGGCCTATTTTTGACATCCTACCATTTTACCTTCTTTCTTTTGATTCTCTTCAACCATGGATGTGACTTTAGACTTTATAGCTCTTTATTTTTCACTTTCATCTTTTTCTTGCGTTTTATTCTTTGCTTTAGCTTTCAACAAGTCACATCCTTTCCTCTCTTTTCTTTTTCTCTTTTTCAACATCAAACTCTTTTCATACCCATTTTTCTTTCGGTTTCCTCTTTCATAGCCACCCTCAACTTATGGATTTTCCATTGGTTGAGGTGCACAATACCCGCTTTCGGATCAGGGCCAAGATTAATGTTACTTTCTATATTGGCCACCCTCAACTTAGGCTTTTGGCCTAAGTCGAGGTGCACATGTCCAAGGAAGGACCGGGGCCAACGTAGTAGATAGGAAGGTGAGTTAGAGGTTTAGAAAGAAATGGTCTAATTTAGGCTCAAAGCATTTGGATCAAAGGGAGCATTTATTTCTATTTGGTTGGATTCTTCTTTTAGGCAATTTATGGACTTATCAGAACAAGGGCCTATGATCACTTCCTAGCCTCTAGAGTAGATTGTCTTAGCAGGACTAGCCGGGCAAGTTCTAGATTGGCACAAAAACTGTTTAATAATCAACTATTCTCACACACTCTTGGCACATAGTTTCATTATCAGATTATCAGATTACCCAGTTCAAGTTTTAGCTTAAGTTATGCCATCAAGTTGATTCATTATCATGTCATACTCAGAGCCAACACATTCAACTCATTCTAGCCTATAGATTTTAGCACATATCACAATTTTATCTTATATTTTTTGGAGGGGTATCATTTTTTCAATAAGCTTTTGCCATCATGCTTCATTTGTTCTCATGCTTCTACACATACAATCCAAACACATGTCGGTTCAACAGAAATTAAACAGTCTCTTGGGGGAAAAGAACACAGGCAAGAAAACCCCAAGAGAGGAATATGATGGTACTCAGACTTCACCCTATCACTCACAATCCATTTACCCAACCCCCAACAAAAAAAATAGGTGCAATTGTCCCCAATGCACACAAAATGCAGTAAAAAGTAATGGATTTTCGTGAAGCAAAAAAATGGCGCATAGCGTCGACGAACCATCAACAAGCTTAAACTGGTGGGTCCGGTTTCCCAGATTCCACTACAGCAATAGTGGGGTCACCCTCAATATTGCCCGCATCTTTGGTCACAACACCCTCAGTAGTGCTATTTGTTGGTCTCACCATACCCCCAGTGG